TGGCAAGCTGTGGCATATCAGTAAAAACGCCTATCGAGATTTTTTACTTAAAATTTGAAGTTTTGTGAAAAAATGGTTGTCAGCCTTGTAGACCATGAAAAAAATGCCAAATTTGCAAAAATCTAGGTCCCGGAAGGAAGTGATGACCAAAAGGGCCCGTCTAACAATGTCTTGTTATGTGAGTCCCAGGCCGTTGTATGCGCCCCGATCGGCTGGATCGTGGTCAATAATATCGGTTCTCGCCCCTTTTGCGCCGCGTGTTCCATAGCAGGCAATAGGCGAGGCGATGGGGAGGGGGTCGAGAGTGTTGGGCGTGAAATGGCTGCTGTTGCTGCTGCCGAAATAAATGACGGACCGATCGGGGGGCGAGACGAGGGGGTTCTGACAAAAGGGCGAACGGGGAGCACAGCCGATGAATACACGCATGGCATCGCGGGCAACGGTGGCAGCCATCACCCCGGGTTTGGCATGATACGGGGAGAATGAGTTTTGAGCTTGAGGTTTATGCTCAACGCCGTATACCCGAGACTTGAACACGACTTTTTAAGGGGATAAAGACAGCTAAACTAACCCTTTTCGAAATAATGCGTTAAGCCAACGCGCTGGCTTCATGATCAGGAGAGAATGAGTTTTGAGCTCGAGGCTTAAACTCGAAGCTTGAGGTATCTGAGATGCTATCGATTATTAGAGGAATCGTGACAGCTAAAGTAATGCTTTTTCCAAAGCTGCCTGAACACCAAACTGGCTTCGATAAAGAGAGAATGAGTTTGGAGCTTGAGGTTTGATGCTCAAAACTGGATTTATTTCAGCCTTGAACACGACCGTTTAAACGGGTGGTGACAAAGAGTGGAGCGTGTTCGAGTTCGGGCCAGAAGCTATTTTAGAGATAGTCAGATTCTAGATTCTACCATCCTAGTCCCTTTAAAAATTGAATTACGCTTCTTGTGTTGCAATCCAAAAAGCCGCAAAGCTAGAAAAAAGCTTCCTGTAAATGCGGGCTCTCGAAATGCGCGCCCGCACGCGAAACGGGCGGAAAAGTGAGGGGGTGATAAGGAACCCAAAGGGACGGACAAATCACGGGCGGCTTCAAAGTCTTTCTAACTCATCTCGTGCTTCCCCCCCAGCCACCATTTCAACTCGTAATGGATCATAAATTGACGTGCCGGGGAGGGACATGGTGCTTTTCGAAGCCGAGGTTAGGCTTACCCAGAGTTTGAATAAGTTTCTTGAGTCGTAAGCGTTTTCAAAAAACAGCGAAAGCAGGGAAAATAAAAAAAGAAAATTCTGAACACGGTCTAGCTTTGGATTCTCTAAATTCAGATTTTTTAAAAGGTTTATAGGCTTTCGAAAAGGAACTGGTGCCAAAAAAAACTGAATAAATTTGGAGGAGTCTTGGGTTTTCTTGAGCATCCGGGTTTTGCTAGAATTAGATTTTAAAGGGCCAGAGCAGGGAGACAAAAAGAATGAAAATTTGGGGAAAAGTTTGTGGTAACTGTGGCTTCAAATTCTGCTTTTTCTGCATCCCCGTACCCAAAATGTCAAGGCCATTAGTATGGCGAAAACACCGTCATCGTACCATCCCTCCACCCGAATATCAAGCAACAATCCATCAAAAATCGACTCACCCGACGTCGAGAACTCGAAGGTCAGTTTCTTCCCAAACTGCCTCGTGTAGCCTGAAAACAGCCCGGTTTATTATCGGAGGTCTCGATCTTTTCGGGCGATGAGTTAAAATGGACCTGACACCGGGCTGCAGTTTGCCTCGCTTTTTTGCTGCTATTGTGCATGAAAATTCTTTGAGAAGAGGGAGGTACGTCAAAAATTTCTATATTTGGAGGGTGATCTCATCGGAAATTTTTGACTTGAGCTTAGGCCTAAGCCTAACTAAGCCTAGATCGCAGCCTAAGCCTACGCCTAAGCCTAGACCGAAGCCTAATGTTCCCAAATTTAACATAAGCTAAACCTAAGCTGTAGGTCCAGGCCCTAAGCCTAACCCATCTAAACCTTAGTAAGTCAAAATTGGCAATTTCCAAGATAATCCTTACTTCCGTATCACCCCAAATATCCGTAGCATCATCTGTAGCGTGAAAAATAATTGTTCTGTCACGGGAAATGCATAGAAAATGGCGGCCGGGTGGTGTACTAATGAGCCTCATGGCGCTGCCGCTGGCTATTCCAGCCACCCTACCGGCCAGGTGGCAATAGTTCTCGGAAGCGCGAATTGTGTAGACACGGAAGCCCGGGTGGCACAAATCGTGAACAAAAGTACTAGTTTGGAAGTTCGGAGATGTTCAAGTATTTGAAAAGAACCTGGGGTATCAAATGGCGCATTAATGACATGGAATAGCGCTTTTTCGGGGATTTCTGTTCAAAAATTGTAAGAAACCACTAAGGAAACTAAAATGTATCGATTTACGCAGTGATGGCGCCCCAACGACTCAAGCCCAATGTTGATGTTTCCAAGATAAAACATTTTTTTGATCAAATTAGGTTCAAATGGTAAAGTTTGTTCGGGAAAGAACGACATGAACGAAAGCCGATTCTCAATAATTTGGAAAACTAAAATACTTATATTAATTTTATACAAACGAGGGGTGTGAGAGGTAGCTATTTGCGCCTTTATGGAGATATTGCACATGATTTCGATACCTTCTTTAAAAAAAAACATCAAAATAACCCCACCGTAAGCTGTCGTTCAACCGCACATACGTCGCCAGCGTTGTGCCCCTCAAAAACTCTCGTCGGCATTCGGGTCCTTCTTCGTCAAACGTCTATAAACCGCCTTTAGGACGATTTATTGAAATTCAGTGAAAACAGAAAAACGTAGACACTTTCAAAGGGCTACTTGGAATTCAGTGAGGGCGCGCTGAAAATTGATGACGCTGAAAGCACAGAATTTTGAACCTACGCTGAATGCTTTTATACCTAGTTCATGCGCAAAAATTTTGAATCTACGCTCGAGATTGAGGCCAGAGCTTTTACACCTAGCTCATGCTCAAAAAACCAAGATCATTTCAGAATCTGATGACCTGGCTAAAAATGCTCGCCTACGCCTACGTTAGCCCCGAAAAAGACCACATTTGGGTCGTTAGTCCTTGCAGCAGATGCAATAAGGTAAAAAACGTGCTGCTAAGCCTCTTTTTCGTAAAGAAGCATCAAAGCACAACCTATACTTTTAGAGCATCGTTAAAATGCCTACCTGAATATATTCCACGACGTGCTTCTTTACGGGGGAGTCGTGTGGATTTCTCTCGATTCCTGGCAGCCCTCCTCGGACTATTGTGGCTTCTTCATAGGTTCCGTCTCCTTTCCGATCGATTAGTTGTTTGTCCTAAAAAGGATTATGAAGTTTGTAGAAGATTAAAGCATACTTACCCTAAAGGTATCGATCTGCTTCGCTTTCAAGTCGGTGGTATCAATTTTGTGTGCGGCGTTTTCAGCAAGAGTTCGGCCGTTTTTCTGGGTTTTCTGGGCAACGCTTCTGAAAAAGACAGGTATGCTTTTGGAATGGTTAGAGGTTAGGAATTTAGAATTTGAGCATTTAGGTTCTGATTTGATTAAACAAAGCCTACGTAAGCCTGAGTCTAGGCCTGAGCTTAAGCCGAAGCCGAAGCCCACGCCTAAGCCAAAGCCTACTCCTAAACCTAGCCCAACCTAAGCCTAAGTCCAAGCCTAACAATAAGCATAAACCTACTGTGTAATCTCGCTAGTGGCTTCGACCGTCCTCGTCTTCTGTGATTGTCCGGGCTCACTCCCATTCTTCTCGCCGTCATTGACAATTGAGGGTTCCTCGGGCCCCAAAAAGTTGGCCCGATCCCGGCGCATCCTGAAGGTGATAATTTGCGAATCCTCTAGAAGCCCTACCTCGCCAAGGGGAGCTGAAAAAGTCGGTGGTCTCGAAGTCTGTATCGTCGTTCATCGAGTTCTTGCCGTCCGCAAATCTTCTCGACACCATCGGGCCGTTGCCGCCACGGGTGCTGATCACCACCTAGAAATTTGAATATTAGCCCTGTACGCCAGATACAAATTCTTAAGAATCTGCTTAAGGTTAAGTTACCTGACGACTACTTTGTGACATATTCACCGTCCGGGTCTTCTTTCTTCTAACTTCCGTTCCATCGGCAAGCGTCTCCACCTCCTCTTCGCAAGTCTGGAAATCCGGCTTACTTTTGAGATACCTTTAGGTACCCTTCGTCACATTTCAAAACTTTATTTAGCTGCTATCAGATAACATTTTTATATCTTTAAGATACGATTAGATAACTTTAAATATCATACATCGAGCTATGTCTAGTTACCTTTAAATTAAAGAGCATAGAGCAAGAAACTAGTTACTAAAATGCACCGCCAGGACAAATATATACACCCACTTTCTGACCATGCTTCTCCGCTCTTTCCTCCTTCCGCTCTTCCGTCAAGACCCCGCCTTCATCGTCAGAATCGGCGTCGATTTCCGGGAATTTTGGCTCGAATTTTGCGACTTTTCTGTAGAAAAAATATTCAAAAAAAATCTGTCTACCTTCTTGTTACCTGAGATTCAATTGGCATAAGAGATCATCGAGTTGAGTATCCGGGCCAGTGCTGGCGTTTGAGATCGAGCTCCCGATGCCCTCGTCAGGTTCTTCCACTTCATACGATGAGATCGATTCTTCGGCTTGGTCGCGGGATCGGCTGGCGAGGAGTTCCTGAAAGGGAGTATTAATGATAGCTCTCTCTCTCTCTCTCTCTCTCTCTCTCTTTCCCCTCTCTTACCTTTTGAAGCTCATCAACCATTCGCATCCCTTCAAATTGATCAATTTTCGAGGTAGACTGCCCGCTGAGCTGAGCGTCCACAAATATCAGGAGGTTGATGAGGGCGTCCTAAAAATAACCTGATTTCATTCTAGAAGTCGTCTCACTTGAAAAGCCGGGTCCTTCCGGTGCTTGCTATTCACTAGACTGTTCAGGACGGCTTGCGCAGCTGAGGGGATGACTCGGCTTTGCCATTCCGGATGACCTCGCGCAGGTAGCGGAGGGATGTTTCGGCGTCTCGGTCGATCATCCACTGTAACAAAGGTAGCTTAAATTTGTCTCTACGAAATTACATGAGCTAAAGCGTCGATTCAACAACGATTTTCAGGGTCGCGCGAACGCAGCCCCTGACGCAAAAATTTAGCTGTAGGCGAACCCCAACTCTTTGTTTTAAATAGCTCAAAAATTCCCAAAAAAAGCCACCGATCAAGATCGGTTAATGATGACGCGGGCGTTAGCGAATTTTGCATAGGTTTCAGATCCCAAGCCCGTAATAGCCAAAAGCTGAATAGTTCCAGAAAAGTCGAAAAGGTGGCGGCTGGATGGATCGGTATGGATGCAGTCGGTCGGTCGACCGGGGTCAACGAGGCATTCAAAAAGGGCTTCTTCCCCCCTGACTGAGACGCCGCGAAGAGCAAATAGAAGGACACCAGGATGCGGGGCAGCCGGGCAGGAGGGCCCACATTGCACGCCTGGCCACATCTAGCGCCGGGATGCAGAGGGCTCGAAAAACGTGTTGCAACTGTTGTAGGGTACTGTTTGCGATGGAAAACAGGGTTAGAGAAGCTGATGACGGTTTTTGGTTTCAAGCCCACAAAATTACTTTAGGGAGCTCAGAATCCAAGCCTACGCCAAAGCCTAAGCTAAGCCTAGGCTTAAGCCTAAGCTTAATCCTAGTGTCATTCAAACCGACGCAACGTAGCGTAAACCGTTCCTAGGCGGCAGCCCAAGTCCAAGCCTAACCCTACGCCCAAGCCTAAGTCTAAGCCTGGCCCAAGCCCAAGCCCAAGCCTAGACCCAAGCCTAAAGCTAGGCCTAAGCCTAAGCCTAACCTAAGCCGAAACCTAAGCTCCGAACTAAAGTTATCCGAACGCAAAGAAATAAAAAGACTGGCGAATGGGGTAGTGCTGAAATTTTAGGGCCATTCCGTTATCGGGTAGGAGCCCACAGGAGAGCGCCTCCCGGGAGCCGATTTTATGAAGGGCAAGGGCTTGAAGCAGGGATAGTGGAAACATATGGGCCAGCGGAGGATTGAGGTAGGAAGGGCCAAAAGTCGGAGGCGTTTAGCCTCATTTTAGCTGAGAAGACGACGACATTACGTCAACAGAAGCGAGAGGCGGGAGTGTGAGTCAGGCTGACGGGCTAGGCTAACTTGGGGCGGGGGCGGAAATGGGGGGTTGTTGAGGGTTTTTTGATTGCTGATACTTTTTTGATACGATTTTCTGGAATCTTACTAAGGATTTGTGATAGAAAATTGTTATCAATCCTGCAAATTGCACGGAATTAACCGTATCAGGAAGACAGAGGGCGAAAAACCACAAAAAAAGCGTCTATCATCAAATTGTCCGTTTTTAAAGGTCCCGGCGCGGGGACAACTTTTCTCTCGCTGGGATTAACACAATAGTATCCTCAAAAATTATACTAGAATGCCTACTGGAGGCATTTTGACTAAAAAAACTGGTCGCGTGTCTGCAATTATGCAAATTTCGTCTTAATGGACATTAACCTTGAAATAAAAAGCTAAGATTGCAAACAGACACTTAACCGATAAATAGAGTAACCTGGAAAAAACCAGAGAAAAACTCAACCCATTTCTTGCGAAAAATTGCGCAAAAATTTATAAAATTTGTACACGAGCTCTTCGCATGCCGTCGCCGCAAAATTCCTCAAAAGACGAGAGAGGGAGAGAGAGAGAGAGAGAGAGAGAGAGAGAGAGAGAGAGAGAGAGAGAGAGAGAGAGAAGGAGATAGGGAGAGGGAGAGTGACAGAGGAAGGGAGAGAGACTGCTAAAAACGGTCAGTAGTGTTTGAGTTACCCCTTCCCAAAAAAACGCTTCAGAAACAGCTGTGAGGAAGCCTGAGGATGGGGAAGAGGACGATGATGAGGGCGGAGGGTGGAAAAGGCGAGCAGAAAAATCGGGCAAGAAAACAGCGCCTAGAAATCGAGAGGAAGAAGCAGTCGTCAGAAAAGGCGAGCGAAAAAAAATAGCAGACGAGCCTCGAATCAACAATGATTCAGACACGGGCCCTCGCATCGGCACGAACGACGTGAATTTCGGTTGAAACGTGAAAAACGCGGGCAAACACGGAGACAACATGTCAATGGGACGGGCAAGGAGGAGGGGTGTAGAATTGTATTGGAAGATGACGACGATAGGCGGGTGGATGTTGTGATTTGGGGAGAAGCCGGGGAAGGGACGTATGATTTTGGCGATCAGGTTAGACGAAAAAATACTAGGGATGAATAATGTCTTTGTTTTTTCCGGATGTTTACAGGAATCGAGCGATGATAAATAGTCAAAATAGCCTCATAACTGCTTTAACCTTGAAAAACTAACTTTCTTTACCTAAAAACTATTTAAAACTGCCATCAAACCCGAGAAAATAACCGGGACTTCGATGAAAAACTTACATTGTTATTTTGAACCTTTTCCTCTTATATCTGCAAAAAGCTAACTGAAACTAACCAAAAAGAGTGCCTCAGGTTGTGAATTTTCTCAACAGTGGTTTCTGATTAACGTGAATAGACATCATTGCACTCGTATCCCGCGGGCGAGGGTCGAACCCGGGCCTTGTGGGTGGTACACTGGGGGCGCTAACCCACTACACCACACTAACAAGCGGGATGACGGGAGAGGGGGAGCATATCCCCCTGTATCAACTTCAAAAGGCCACTAGCGTTTCTCTTTATTTTTTAAATTGTAAAAACGTTGTGCGTTATCGTGGAGGCATTTCAAATATACCAAAAGATACCTCGTTCTCGGGGCCACAAGATCTGGTCATTCAGTTAAAACAAAAGTTATGAAAAGCCTACGTTTTTTGCGGCCAAATGCGCAGTAGGCAAAAGAAAAAGCAAGTTACGTGTCTAGATAGGCAACACTTATTCCAGCCAGCTTCTACAAATTTAAAGCAAATAAAATGCTTCAAATAAAAATAGTAGCAGCCCAGTAGGTTACCGAAGAGGCAATTTAGCCTAGTTGCGCCCAGCAACTAACTGGGAAACCGATATCAAATAAGGAAAAGTTTTAAACTATGAATTTGTAATCCTTTTATTTCACAGTAGACTAAATGGCATAGTCATCACAATTACTACTAAGATCTATTAAAAACATCGCAAATGTTGATAGCTTTCGAAGACAATATTCAGAAAATATATTTGTGATACGGTTTGAAAAATTATATGGACCCATAAGCAATTTTTGCATTTGATAGCTATACTTGCCTATATACTGTAACCAGATACTTCAACCCTGTCATGTTGGAAAACCCGTAAATCCTCCACTCAAAATCCGGTAGACAGCCGGGGGAAATGACTAGTCGTCCGGGGTGGGGCCCACCTGGATCCCGGATGCTTCTAGAAACAGAAAACTTGGTGGGAATCCGCGCGGCAAATATTTGAAGGAGGGGCAGAGGGGGAAAGTGACGGGTAATGGGGGCAGGACCCAAGCAGTGGCCCGCCTCAAGGCCCACACACACAAATGACATACTTATAGGTAGGAAGGTAGAAAGAGACAGAGAGGCAACGAGAAAAGTACCGACAAACAAATGGACAAATGGGTGCGGCACTAATGACTAATGTTTTCCGGGGATCGTAAGTATAGTGGGCCCGAAGCTCGTGTAAGTATTTACCCCATTTTTAGCATGTTTTATAGGATTCGACCGACTTATAGGTATCTACATTCCTTGGAGATGAAATAAAAGCGTCGTCATAAATCATACATACACACCGGATCATAAATAGTCATAGAATCATGGCAATCTTTTTAAATGAATTTACGCAATGAAGAGCCTGAAACATAACAAAATACTACTTTTCCGAGCCGTAACCTCAAAACCTTCTAAAGACGAATAATTTTAGGTATCCCTTAACTTTCTTAATTTTTTCAGGTCGGTTTCTATTTATTTCATCAGCAAGGTGCAAATGAGACCAAATTTTGTGTACACATGTTTGTTATTTACAAAAAAAGGGCCCTTAAAGACCAGGATGAGCAGAGGATAAGTGTGGGCTGGGAAACAGGTGTTTGCGAAAAATGGAAAATATTGGGAACAACAAATTGAGCAAAAATGGCTTAAAGTGGTAAAATCCAAATGGGAAAAATATTTATTTTATAATTACGTACTGCCAAAAGTGCCCTATTTCTGCAAGAGTAGTATATCCGGGGCAGCCGTAGCCGATGATTTGGCAAGGTGGAAATGGGAAAAGAAGGTGAGAGAAATGAATTATGGTCTACTAGGCTAGCCTTGCTCTTCGTCTGGGTAGCAATCTGAGTATTTTAAAGAGGATTTGAAGTCACAAAAATTGGAGCGAGCCAAAGTCCAAGCTTAAGCCTCCGTCTAAGCCTAAAATAAATAATAAAGCTAAGCCTCAGCCCAAACCTAAGCCTAAATTCAAGCCAAAGCCAAGCCTGGGCCCAAGCCTAAGCCTCAGCCTAAGAAAGCCCAAGAAAAAGCATAAGCCTAAGCCTAAGCCCAAGTCTAAGTCTAACCCTAAGCCTCAGCCTAGTGCTAGCTTCCGATTCGATCCTATGAACCGTGTCATTCGGCATGATTTGCAAAAACAAAGAAATCCGATAAATTGTGTCTGGCCGCCCACAACAATCCTGACTAATGGACGATGGGGCTGACCAATTTGGGGGTGGCCCATTTTGTGATGCCGCCCACATAAGGAAGTGCTTTTTGCCTTAGGACAAGGGTCCGTCTGCCCGGATTGGATGAGGGGTTTATAAGGAATAGGCAATCGAGCAGTGATGCGTGGGATTGAGCAGGAGTGCTTATTGAGAGCGAATATTTAAGAAGGAACTTGCTTGGATTCATGCAATTTGGGGTTGCTCGTAGTTGTGTCAAGAAAGATAGTGAGAGAGAGCTGAAAGAGAGAGAGCTAGAGAGAGAGAGAGTAGGTAGAGAGAGAGACAGGAGAGAGAGAGAGAGAGAGAGAGAGAGAGAGAGGGAGACCAACCAGCCTAAAAACTAATAAGCCTGCACTAGAAGTATAATTCAGAAACCCATCAGGCCAAGTGTCAAATTGTCACGAGTGAGTAGGAGCAAAGGAAAGTCTCGGAATAGCACTACTGTGACTCACCGTCTTCCTCAAAAGAACGCCGGAAATTGCCTCTTATTTCCAACACACATCTCGCCCTCGGCGGGGTGCCTCGCCCCGAAATTTTGGGCAACCAAGAAATAGATGAAAAGAGAGTATACGGGAAACAGTAGGACAACATTCGATGAATTCTTCGGAGAAATGGACCAACGTTTTGGGCTGAGGTGGCTCGAGCGCATGATGGAGCCGTGGTAGGAGGGACTTTGCCGGATTTTGTTGGAGGCCTTGTCGAAGACGTCGCGAACTCTGGAAAAAGCGTATTGAAATTGTAGAATTGATTCCGAACGAGAAGCCTTAGCCCCACGCCTGAACCTAAGCCTAAGCCCGGGCCTGAGCCTAACGCTAAGCCTAAGCTAAAGTCAAAGCCAAAAGCCTAAACTTAGGCCTGGAGTGCACTTACCTCGAAATAAACCGCGACGGGCTCATCTTGAAGTTGGAGTGCGTACATTATCTGAGTGGTGACTTAGGGACGGCTCGAAGCATGGCTGAAAAACCGACAGTTTTTGAGAGGCTTCGCGATTTGGGCGAGCAAAATTCTTGTAAACATCGGGGATTCACCCCTGGTTGAGTCAACGGAGGACCAACACATCCGGCATTTTTCGGGCGGGAGGATATTCAGTTATGAGAGGGGATCTTGAGACCACAAGAGTTTTGAACGCCAAAAATAGGGAAATATCAGTCGAGTTCAGGCATTTTCAGGGCCGCGCGGAACGCAGCCCTGACGCAAAAATTTAGCTGTAGGCGAACCCCAACTCGGAGCTGCCTTACAGGTCAGCCCGGCCGAGAAGTGCAATGGCCAAGCCTCGCCATAGGGGTCCCGTCTTGATGATCACGGGAACCCCCCAGCCAGGTAAGTTTATGAAGGGGTGGGGGAGGGAAGGTATCCACAGGAGTGGGCCAGGTGGTGGCGAGTGAGGGGTTGAAGCAAACGCATCCACATGGCTTGCGCTAGGTGCGTGCGTGGAAGATGGAGACAGTCGGCAAGACATAGGGCGAGAAGGGAGAGAGAGGGAAAGAGGGCGGATGAGATAGAGAGAGAGAGGGTGAGGGAAAGAAAAGGAGCGAGAGGTAGTAAGACACTCAGCGGACAATTCTGAATAAAAACATCTGAAGCTCATTTAAGGGCTGGAACAAGAATTTGGGAGTGGTTTTTAGCAATTTCACCAAGATCCAAGGCCTTGGGGAGTTCCGAGAATAAATGTTTGACAAAAATTTGATAATGCAACAGATCCGGCTCGAATCCAGCATCCAAAGCTCAATTCTCAAGCTCAAGCTCCATCTGGACCTCAAAAACCTCGCTAAGAACCGATCACGAGTCCTAGGCGTCAATGAAAAGTTATGGAACCAGTTTACGACTCAAAAATTGCAGGCGCCGTTCATGCTGGCTGCGGGGGTCGATCGACTCGCCAAGCGATGTGCCGAAGAGATTTCTTTTGTAGTATTTGCCGAGGGGGGAGGAAGGGCCCCGGCTCTCACCATCCACCATCCACCACTACCACACTCGAATCTACTGCCCCTCATCCCAGGCCGGCGGGCCGACATCGGTTTCACGATGTTTGTATTGAAATGGGGCAGGGTGGGCCGCGACGATAAGCTTTTTTCGGGTCGTTTTTTAGATAAACCTGGAGGCTTATCGGGTCTTTTAGTCCTTCTAACCCGGAAGAATAGGAATGGCGTTCTTCACGACTTTTATGCTGATTTCTTAATTAATTTGAGAGCTTAGGGGTCTGTTTAGACATAGAGGCCTGAAGAACAGAAATGGAATTTAAAAACGGTATCTTCTTTTTCTGCCTAATAAAAAGAAATATAAATAAGATCGGGTTCCAGGAACCGCATTATCAACGCAAATCGCAAGAAATACATGAATCAAAATCAGCGCCGTGGCAAGATGGTGTGGTGGTTAGCGCGGTCGCCGCTGATTGAGCGGCACTGGTTCGATCCCCGCAGGTGCCAGATTTTGCTGTTAAAACCCAGGACCTCTAAACCGGGGTTTCTAAGGGCTTTGAGGGTATACAAACGTTTAGCGCTAAAATACAAGTTTTGAACGATTCTCACGGGTCGAAAGCAGGAAAACGAATGATGTTTCCTGTAAAAGAAGAGTGCAGGATTTTTGGCGGCGGAGAACCCAAACTGGAAAAATAGAAGCGGTTTGAAAAGGATGCTGTGAAATGTGTATACCCAAGAGCCGCTAAAAGCTCCGGCACCCCAAAAGGCACCCCCGTTCCCTAGGGAGTCTAAAATTATGAATGAGGCGATCACTCCGGGAAGCGCCGCCGCCCCGGGACCCCCAAAATTCAGCAGTTGCCGATGGATGGTGAAAAGTAGGGGATGGGGTGTCCCCCTCCAGCTTTCACAATGCTTTTTGCAATCCATTTTGTTATGCATGAGGGGTTTTTTTGTTAATCGGGAAAATCGGGAAATTTGATCAAAGTGAAGAATAGAAAAATTGGCATGTTTTAAGTACATTAGAAGTTTTATTTAGATTGCTTGTGCTTGTGTATGTAAATTAAGTGTAAAGATACGATAAAAGGGAAAGTTACAGCAATTCGCCCATGAAAAACTGAGTGTTTTATTTGCATTCCTTTACGACAATCGAATCAGCAAGGAAAATATTGGATATCCACAAAGCGAAATGGAAAAATTTGCCCCCAAAACTCGAAAAACAACCGAAAAACGAGAAACAAATCCCATTCTATATTTCCGAAAGCACGCTCGACCAATTTGCCAGGCGCGACGATCCGCCCGATCGGCTCTAGCCACTACCATTGAAAACAGCCCCCCGGACATGGGTCCACATCACGCAAGGAGTGTAAAGCAGTAGCTTCCCGGAAGCGGGCGATTACTCATCAATAGCGGCTAACCAGCCCGCGGTGATGGATTGGCGGTCAGGTTGATTTTGAGCGGCTGTCATAATCAGAAATCAACGGAAGTTAAGAAAAATATACAACGACAGCAACGTTAAAACGCGAAGTTTTTGAGAATCTATAAAAACCGTCTCGAAAACGACTGGCCAGGCGGGGAAGGGTTGTTTACTCTGGCTAAGAAGCTTTTCGTGGACTTGGGTCGGTAAGAGTCAGAGAAAGAACTGGTCAGGCAGGTTGTCTCATTCTGATCTTTTCAAGAGGTTTTTTCAATATTTAATTCAGAAGTAATGCCTAGTAGAAGTAAGGGGAAAGTCTGTTCTACGCATGGCCACACACTCGTCACACATCTGGCCTATTTGCAAGGCATCAAGTGTTAGAAGAAAGGTTGTAGTCCGCCAACAAGCCTAAGCCTAAGCCTAAGCCTAAGCCCTAAGCCTAAGCGTGAGCCTAAGCCTGAGCCTAAGCCTAAGCCTAAGCCCTAAGCCTCAAAAAAATCACAAAACGCGGGTGGGAAGATGCGACTATTCGCCGACACATATGTGCGAAGTCAAGCCCAGATTCCACTCCGTTTCTCATTCCACTCCGACAGTCCGAGGGGGTCGTTTTTCAAAAGAGGGCGCAGGAACGCGGAATGGCCTGATTCCGGCCGTTGCGGGCCGGTGGCAGCAACTGGCCCTCCCCTCAGCCCGGTGGCCTCAATCTTTCGAGGGGATGTGTGTGTTTTTACTAGATCTCACTCACTCCACTCTCACACTCCCCAACGCCTCTTTGAAGCCCTGAGGTAGATCTGGGCTAGGGGAGAGTGGGTTGTATGATGGCTGGCTACTTGGTTTAGGACATTGCTTCGTACTTGATGAATTGTTAGATGGAGTGACCTAGAGAGATAGAGAACAGGGGAGAGAGAGATAGAGAAAACGAGAGAGAGAGAGAGAGTTAGAGGAGGCGAAAGAGAGGGGGGGAGAGAGAGGGAGAGAGAGAGAGAGAGAGAGAGAGAGAGAGAGAGAGAGAGGAGGAGGTGAGTCAAATAATGGATTAACGTAGGGGTCTTCGGAATTCTTAAAGAAGTTCCAAAGTTTGCCCTCTAAAATTCTAGAGATCTTCTTGGTCCTGTTAAAACAAAAATATAAGTTTCGAAAATCCTGATCGAACAAAGAATTAAATATGCAAATGTCCCCAAATTTGCAAAGTTTTGTACATTGATACTTCGCCGAGTATGAGTGGGCGTAGCGCCGCAAAATGCCAAAATTTCCGGCTCTCCAGCAGTAAAAAACGGCATTGACAAACGACCGTAGTAGAACACGGCGGGTGAGTGAGTAGGTGTGGAGGAGCTTGTAAACAACGGCCCCCAACACAACTCGTGGTACAAACCGACTGAACCTACGGGGAGGGGGAGCAAGCAAGCAGAGGCTGTTCGGGAGCCCGAGATCGGGAACGGGTTTGACACAGTTAATTGATACTATTGATTCACACATCTGGCCTATTTGCAAGGCATCCAAGTGTTAGAAGAAAGTTTGTAGTCCGCCAACAAGCCTAAGCCTAAGCCTAAGCCTAAGCCTAAGCCTAAGCCTAAGCCTAAGCCTAGCCTCCAAGCCTAAGCCTAAGCCTAAGCCTCAAAAAATCACAAAACGCGGGTGAAGATGCGACTATTCGCCGACACATATGTGCGAAGTCAAGCCCAGATTCCACCCCGTTTCTCATTCCACTCCGACAGTCCGAGGGGGTCGTTTTTCAAAAAGAGGGCGCAGGAACGCGGAATGGCCTCATTCCGGCCGTTGCGGGCCGGTGGCAGCAGCTGGCCCTCCCCACAGCCCGTTGGCCTCAATCTTTCGAGGGGGATGTGTGTGTTTTTACTAGATCTCACTCACTCACTCACACTCCCCAACGCCTCTTGAAGCCCCGGGTAGATCTGGGCTAGGGGAGAGTGGGTTGGCAAATGGCTGGCTACTTGGTTTAGGACATTGCTTCGTACTTGATGAATTGTTAGATAGAGTGACCTAGGAGATAGAGAGAACAGGAGAGAGAAATAGAAAAACGAGAGAGAGAGAGAGAGAATTAGAAGAAAACAGAAAGAGAGAGGGAGAGAGAGAGAGGAAGAGAGAGAGAGAGAGAGAGAGAGAGAGAGAGAGAGAGAGGAGGGAGGTGAGTCCCCCAATGGATTAACGTAGGGGTCTTCAGAATTCTTAAAAAAGTTCCAAAGTTTGCCCTCTAAAATTCTATAGGTCTTCTTGGTCCTGTTAAAACAAAAATATAGTTTCGAAAATCCTGATCAGACAAAAATTAAATATATACAAATTATTGCCCCAAATTTGCAAAGTTTTGTACATTGATACTTCGCCGAGTATGGGTGGGCGTAGCGCCCCAAAAATGCCCAAAATTTCCGGCTCTCCAGCAGTAAAAAGCAGCATTGACAAACGACCGTAGTAGAACACGGCGGGTCAGTGAGTAGGTGTGGAGGGCTTGTAAGCAACGGCCCCCAACACAACTCGTGGTACAAACCGGCTGAACCTACGGGGGAGGGGAAGCAGCAGCAGAGGCTGTTCGGGAGCCCGGATCGGGAACGGG